GCTCCATGGTCGGCCCGGGGAAGATATGTTTTCCAGCTGCCGGGTCCTTTCATAAGTGAATACTGTTCCTGCTCCCTTATACTCGCCATTCCACTGGATCGGTCCAGCCACCGTTCAGGAAATATTTATCAGGGTCACTACTGCGTAATGCCAAGTAGTTCTCAGCCTCTGCGACTTCCTCATACGGATGTCCGTGTCCCTTTCGGAATAAGGCCTATGTCTACATAGCCTGGGAGACAAAAAAAAACAACAACAACCTCAGCTTATTAAAACAAATTAAGTAGAAAGAAAACAAATGTGTACTGTAATATATTTATGACATGAATGCTACTTTCACAAACCGAGCCCTTCGCTGTCCTCAAAGGTCTTTCTCACTGTCTCACATGTAGATCCATTTCCATGGCAAACCCCACATTGATCCTCAACGGCATCCGAGTCGATTTCATAATCACAGCCTATGTACTGTGACACGATCATATAAAAGATAAAAAAAAAAAAAACATTTAATTTTAAAAAGTGCATCCTCCATGCTGTCTGTTATGATTGGGTGTTCTGAGTGGTTGCCAGGGTGTTGCTAAGTGGTTATTAGGTTATTCTGGATGGTACGATTCTGGAAAAATTAAGAATCATTTTTTTTGTTTAAACAGAGATCATGATTCTAAACAGGCAACGAAACAAAATAACATGTAATTTACTAGAGGTTCTGACAAAATGTTGAATGCTGCAGTCTATTTAAAATGTTTAATTGATTAATCTGACAGTCACAACTACTGGTGAAACGATGTAATTGATACAATCGTTATTTGAAGTGCAATTATGTTCAAAAAGGGATTTTCTCTGTTTTGAACGCTACTGTAGACATCAGCAGCAACACAGATCTGAATTAGATGAATCGTGCAGCTCTACTGGATGGTTGTGAATGTTTACTTACTTGCAACGTCCAAATCGTTTCAGGTTACAACTGTAACCTCTGTTCCCTAAGAACAGGGAACGAGACGCTGCGTCGATGGCGCTTTGGGGAATGCCTCCGTGTGAACCGGTGTCTGAAATGCTTATCTAATCACGACAATCCTATAGGCCGGCGACAGCCTATGACATCAGTACTAGTGTGACCCGGAAGTATATAAGGGGAGAATATGTCAACATCTCATCGTCTGAAGGGACTGTCCAGCAGGCATCCCCGAGGCATGGCGAAAGACGCAGTTTTTCCTGTTCTCAGGGAACAAAGGTTACAGTCGTAATCTGAGACGTTCCCTTTCGAAAGGGAACTCTCACTGCGTCAATGACACTTTGGGGAACGATATACCAACGCTGCTATGCTGAGGGGAGTGCATGCCAAATTATGCTGTGATAAAAACTTCAAAGATGGCAGTTTCACTGAAATGCCAAAACACTCCCCCTTAGGGTCACATACTGGCTGTCAGTGATACTATTTCCTACAGCCACTGCCCAAGCTATAAGCTTCAAGGAGGCCTTCAAAACAATGAAGGCCTACCGAGGCCGCTCAAAGGCTTGGAACCAACAGCTTCCATGCAAGGGATTCCTTTAGGGAATATGACCAGGGGTCCAAAGAGTCCCATCCAGTCACTTTCTGAGGGTGGCATGAAGTCAACCCCACATGCCACCTGGGAGGGCTGACCTGGTCTAATTACTGACCTAGACTTGCCAACAACCCATCTGTTTCCTAAACAGATTCTCCACCAAAACTTGCCTCACTTGTGGAGGCATCCAATAGGGAAGACTGCAGATAGTGGCAGTAATGGCTCACATTTACTGACCTAGTCTTATGACCTATGCCTAACGGGCATCCTGGAGTGTAGAACTCTCTTTCTAACCCTTGCAAACGAGGGGAGTAACTCTACTCGATCCTGGATCTACACAGTGCTTCAAAGCCCCGTGGAGGCTGGGCACTCTGAAAAGGGACCCTGATAAGGGGAGCGCCTCCAGCTCTAGGGCTGATCGAACAGGGAGACCTCGTGAGAGTCCTTCGACCTTCCGACCAGACTTGGGAAGCTAAATATTCATACAGAACAATCCTCAGATAGATTCTGGAATACTATGCTCAAACCTGATCAAGTATTGACCAGGCTCTGGGCTAGAAACAGGGAGGCTTCATGGGAGCCTGCAACGTGATACTTAATGCCTTTGCAATGCTAAGCATCCAACTCATTGGAGAGCCGCTTTCAAGGGGACCTTTAAAGGCCCAATTACTTGATACCGGGACTATTAGCAGAGCTAGCTACAGAAGCCAGGTGCTCTCAAAGACATCTCTGTGGGCCTGGTTATACTTATTTAACATTGCCCACAGGCAGTGTACTCAGCAGAAGTACTATTGACCCTTTAAAGCAAGGGGAGTACAATCCTATGTTACCAGATTATCGAGGAGGCCTACTGTAAGGCCTACAGCTTCGACTTTCACGGACGTCAGCCGTCGCAGTGCTTAGGTTTTCTAATCAGAGTCTCTAACCTCACTCGCCTTACTTGTTGAGGCATCCAATGCAGATAGTGGCAATAATCACTCACAGACCGGATCATAGAGACGGGCATCCTGGAGAGAAGAACTCAGCATAGCTTCTAACCCTTGCAAACGAGGGGAGTGTGACTCTACTCGATACTGGATCGACACAGTGCTTCAGTGCCCTGTGTAGGCTGGGCACTCTGAAAGTGACCCTAATAAGAGGGGCACCTCCAGCTCTAAGGTTTACATTGCCAACAGGCAGTGTACTCAGCAGAAGTGATATCAACCCTTTAAAGCAAGAGGAGTACAGTCTCACGCTACTGGACTATCGAGGAGGCCTACGTATATTCCCTCAACATACCCGTGTTCGCCCATTCCCTCAACATACCCGTGTTCGCGGATTCCCTAAAAATACCCGTGTTCGCCCATTCCCTAAACATACCTGTGTTCGCCCATTCCCTAAACATACCCGTGTTCGCCCATTCCCTAAACATACCCGTGTTCGCCCATTCCCTAAACATACCTGTGTTCGCCCATTCCCTAAACATACCCGTGTTCGCCCATTCCCTAAACATACCCGTGTTCGCCATTCCCTAAACATACCCGTGTTCGCCCATTCCCTAAACATACCCGTGTTCACCCATTGCCTAAACATACCCGTGTTCACCCATTCCCTAAACATACCCGTGTTCGCCCATTCCCTAAACATACCCGTGTTCACCCATTGCCTAAACATACCCGTGTTCGCCCATTCCCTAAACACACCTGTGTTCGCCCATTCCCTAAACATACCTGTGTTCGCCCATTCCCTAAACATACCCGTGTTCGCCCATTCCCTACCCGTGTTCGCCCATTCCCTAAACATACCCGTGTTCGCCCATTCCCTAAACATACCTGTGTTCGCCCATTCCCTAAACATACCCGTGTTCGCCCATTCCCTACCCGTGTTCGCCCATTCCCTAAACATACCCGTGTTCGCCCATTCCTAAACATACCTGTGTTCGCCCATTCCCTAAACATACCCGTGTTCGCCCATTCCCTAAACATACCTGTGTTCGCCCATTCCCTAAACATATCCGTGTTCGCCCATTCCCTCAACATACCCTTGTTTGCGCATTCCCAAAAGATACCCGTGTTCGCCCATTCCCTAAACATACCCGTGTTCGCCCATTCCCTAAACATACCCGTGTTCACCCATTCCCTCAACATACCGTGTTCACTCATTCCCAAAACATACCTGTGTTCGCCCATTCCCTAAACATACCCGTGTTCACCCATTCCCTCAACATACCCGTGTTCACCCATTCCCTCAACATACCCGTGTTCGCCCATTCCCTAAACATACCCGTGTTCGCCCATTCCCTAAACATACCCGTGTTCGCCCATTCCCTAAACATACCCGTGTTCACCCATTCCCTCAACATACCCGTGTTCACTCATTCCCAAACATACCTGTGTTCGCCCATTCCCTAAACATACCCGTGTTCACCCATTCCCTCAACATACCCGTGTTCACCCATTCCCTCAACATACCCGTGTTCGCCATTTCCCTAAACATACCCGTGTTCGCCCATTCCCTAAACATACCCGTGTTCGCCCATTCCCTAAACATACCGTGTTCACCCATTCCCTAACATACCCGTGTTCGCCCATTCCCTAAACATACCGTGTTCGCCCATTCCCTAAACATACCTGTGTTCGCCCATTCCTAAACATATCCGTGTTCGCCCATTCCCTCAACATACCTTGTTTGCGCATTCCCAAAAGATACCCGTGTTCGCCCATTCCCTAAACATACCCGTGTTCGCCCATTCCCTAAACATACCCGTGTTCGCGCATTCCCCTAAACATACCCGTGTTCACCCATTCCCTAAACATACCCGTGTTCGCCCATTCCCTAAACATACCCGTGTTCGCCCATTCCTAAACATACCTGTGTTCGCCCATTCCCTAAACATATCCGTGTTCGCCCATTCCCTCAACATACCCTTGTTTGCGCATTCCAAAAGATACCCGTGTTCGCCCATTCCCTAAACATACCCGTGTTCGCCCATTCCCTAAACATACCCGTGTTCGCCCATTCCCTAAACATACCCGTGTTCACCCATTCCCTCAACATACCCGTTTCACTCATTCCCAAACATACCTGTGTTCGCCCATTCCCTAAACATACCCGTGTTCGCCCATTCCCTAAACATACCCGTGTTCGCCCATTCCCTAAACATACCCGTGTTCACCCATTCCCTAAACATACCCGTGTTCGCCCATTCCCTAAACATACCCGTGTTCGCCCATTCCCTAAACATACCTGTGTTCGCCCATTCCTAAACATATCCGTGTTCGCCATTCCCTCAACATACCCTTGTTTGCGCATTCCCAAAAGATACCCGTGTTCGCCATTCCCTAAACATACCCGTGTTCGCCCATTCCCTAAACATACCCGTGTTCGCCCATTCCCTAAACATACCCGTGTTCACCCATTCCCTAAACATACCCGTGTTCGCCCATTCCCTAAACATACCCGTGTTCGCCCATTCCCTAAACATACCCGTGTTCACCCATTCCCTCAACATACCCGTGTTCACTCATTCCCAAAACATACCTGTGTTCGCCCATTCCCTAAACATACCCGTGTTCACCCATTCCCTCAACATACCCGTGTTCACCCATTCCCTCAACATACCCGTGTTCGCCCATTCCTAAACATACCCGTGTTCGCCCATTCCCTAAACATACCCGTGTTCGCCCATTCCCTAAACATACCCGTGTTCACCCATTCCCTCAACATACCCGTGTTCACTCATTCCCAAAACATACCTGTGTTCGCCCATTCCCTAAACATACCCGTGTTCACCCATTCCCTCAACATACCCGTGTTCGCCCATTCCTAAACATACCCGTGTTCGCCCATTCCCTCAACATACCCGTGTTCACCCATTCCCTCAACATACCCGTGTTCGCCCATTCCCTAAACATACCCGTGTTCGCCCATTCCCTAAACATACCCGTGTTCGCCCATTCCCTAAACATACCCGTGTTCACCCATTCCCTCAACATACCTGTGTTTTCGCATTCTCTCAACATGAATGGCAATGAATGTGCACTGAATTTGGGCTCTTCCATGCCTTTTCGATCTCATTGTGTAGATCGGACAGGAATGGAAGGCTCACGAGAGCTGGAGCTTTATGACGGGAAAGAAACCGTTCATCAAGTTACGAACGGCCTCTTCCCTCACGTGCTCCAACGACAGCTGAAGCTTCACTAAAGTGCGTAACACTGAACAGCTTAACACAGGGGACGCGAGGGGACGGGTTAGAAATCCTCTTCACCCTCATTAGCCATTTCCTGCACTCTTGGGCTGGATGTTTTTATACACAGCAGAGCACACGCTGCTGTATCAGAGGATGTTAGTGATAATACATCCTCATCCTGCACCTCTCAAAAGTCTCTGAGGGGCGCGAGAGATTAACGGTTCACTCAACCTCCTCAGCGAGCTCCCTCTGAAAAAACGTTTCGATCCTGGTACAGATGTCTAACCCTCTTCCCTCGAGAAGAGAGCAGACGAGAGTGTAGCTGTCATAGTGGCACAAGCAGAATCCTCAGGAACTGATCGTACATGCTCTGAGCCCAAACAATAAACGCACAAGTTGTGTGTCATCAAGTATCAAATATCTCCGACACAGATGCACACACTTCCTGAGCATTTTTCACAAGCCATGATTACCTTTTTGAAGTTTCAGGTTGAAGCGTACAAACAAAACAGTCTCTGAAGATGAAAAGATTTTGACAGGTTCTCCAGGCTCCCCTTATATAATTCCACATCGCACTAGTAGTGAGGTCATAGGCTGTCGCCGGCCAATAGGATTGCTGTGATTAGATAAGCGTTTCAGACATCGGTTCATGCAGAGGCGTTCCCCAAATCGCCATCGACATAAAAGGGAACCAATTTTTGTACCAATCCAATTAGAATCCGATCATATTTAGAAAATGTAAACAGCAAAAAATAATAATAATAAATCACATGAAATCCATTTTGAGCAACTATTCATATATGGTTTGAAATCCTGACCACTCTAATCAGATTTCGTGTGGTTTATGTCTTTCTCACGCCACGTAAAATGTTAACATGCCAGACGCTGTTATAGAAAACTTGCTGAATGTTGATGCAGAAACAAGGTTGTGTTGTTGAGCCAGTTGAGCAAAAAATTACAATACAATGTTGACACGGAAAGAACACAACGGGACACACAAATCAGATCTGAACCGTTGAGATACACAGTGTGGATAGTTAATAATGTCTCCAATAAGATTCCAATCGGATACACACTATCCGGTGGACCGGGAGAAGAATAGAGTCAACTTTATAGTTTAACACAATGTGTATCAGATATGAATAAATCACATCATCAAATTATAACAAAGGATTATTATAGGTGTGTTTCTTGCCTTGACATAAGGCATGTGTTCAGGTTTTCCCATGTTTTATCTTCTGCTGGATGACAAACGCAAGTGAAATAGCTCTCTTCAGAAGAGATTCTCTTTAAAAAATCTCCACAATTTTACTGCACTGTAAAAAATATTATCACAACATATTTTCTTTTGTCAAATCAACTTTATAATAATTTATTTAGTTGAGATAACTTATTATTTTGAGTTTCTGATGATTAAATCAATCTCCTTCATTGTATTAACTCACTTTTCCAGTTCAATCAACTTAAAATTTTTAAGGCAACCAGGTTACTTACTTTTTTAAGTCAAACCAACAATATTTTTTACAGTGTAGTAATCACAACATATTTTCTTTTGTCAAATCAACTTAAATAATTTATTTAGTTCAGATAACATATAATTTTGAGTTGCTGATGATTAAATCAATCTCCTTCATTGTATTAACTCACTTTTCCAGTTCAATCAACTTAAAATTTTTAAGGCAACCCAGGTTACTTACTTTTTTAAGTTAAACCAACAATATTTTTTACAGTGTAGTAATCATAACATATTTTCTTTTGTCAAATCAACTTAAATAATTTATTTAGTTCAGATAACATATAATTTTGAGTTTCTGATGGTTAAATGAATCTCCATCATTGTATTAACTCACTTTTCCAGTTCAATCAACTTAAAATTTTTAAGGCAACCCAGGTTACTTACTTTTTTAAGTTAAACCAACAATATTTTTTACAGTGTAGTAATCACCACATTTTTTCTTTTGTCAAATCAACTTAAATAATTTATTTAGTTGAGATAACATATAATTTTGAGTTTCTGATGGTTAAATGAATCTCCGTCATTGTATTAACTCACTTTTTCCAGTTCAATGAACTTAAAATTGTACTTTTTTAAGTTAAACCATCAATATTTTTTTACAGTGTGCCTATAACAGTATAATAAGGCTATGGTTGGTTCAGTGAAACATGTTTGTAGTCTGCTAAATATTTTGTGAGAAAAAGCTCTGTAGAAGCAAGACTGCATCAAAAACAAGCTTCCTCCTTTATTCATCATTACCATGCATGCATTTCAGCCTGGGGTCGAACAAGGACTTGTTCAGATATGTTTTTGAGTTTCTCTTGTGTCATATAATTTCACAGTTGACTGATACTCAAGCTGACAGACTCTCAATGGCTTGCGAAGAAAATGACAAGTAGAAATTTACAAGGAGAGTCTGAGACTGAGCAAAGAGGTCAAAGCCATTACCAACCTTGCAAATGCCGTTCACGCATATGTCTCGTCTCTGACTGCCTTCATAACACTGCGTCCCGTCCAAGACCGTGTCTAGCATCCGCTCCGAGAACTGCTCGTTCACAGGTCTGCAGTGCAGCTCGCACGGATCAACTGAAATCACACAAACGTATCCTTCCCGTAACATCTATTTAAAGAGAGCCTCCACAAAATCTCTCATTATCACCCCAGTACACTACATATGAAGTGCTACACCTTGCACCATTCTGGATAAATTAAGAATCACGATTTTCTGTAACAAGTTAAGCTAACTCATTTAATTTGAGGAATGCCTCAATTCATTTAAGTTAATTAAAAACAATAGTTATGAGTACTCTGAAATTATTTCAGTTGAGTTCACTAAAAGTAGTTATTGGAGTCAAGAAATTAAGTGATTAATTAAGTGATTGTTGGGCATTAATGATGAACACCTGAAACACAAGAACTACAACTGAATTCCAACCATGATATTAGATGAAATCAACTAAAGATAAAATGTTTAAATCTCTCAAGATCTCAGCCGAGGACGGTTGAACAACTCCACAAACAGCATTACAAGCTTCACTTATTACTAACCAGTTTGACTTTTATCATTCGTCTACAGAAGTTGTTATTAGGAATGATTTAGTTGGGCTCTTGACCCCTGACTTTATAACACCAGGTTTTCCTCTGGCTGCTGTAACTGAGTGTTTATATAACACATTTGTTATGGCACAAAAGCCAAAAGAAAATTTTGTTTTGATGATGATTTATGGAAAGATGAATCATCATTTGGTGTAACGCGATATTTATTCAAATATTTATGTAACGCGATGCCTATATTTTTAAGTAAAGAATGTTGTGTGAACTCAAATATTTATGTAACGCGATGCATATATTTTTAAGTAAATAATGTTACGTGAACTCAAATATTTATGTAACGCGACGCATATATTTTTAAGTAAAAAATGTTGCATGAACTCAAATATTTATGTAACGCGATGCATATATTTTTAAGTAAAGAATGTTGCGTGAACTCAAATATTTATGTAACGTGATGCATATATTTTAAGTAAAGAATGTTACACGAACTCAAATATTTATGTAGTGCGATGCATATATTTTTAAGTAAAGAATGTTGTGTGAACTCAAATATTTATGTAACGTGATGCATATATTTTTAAGTAAAGAATGTTACACGAACTCAAATATTTATGTAGTGCGATGCATATATTTTTAAGTAAAGAATGTTGCGTGAACTCAAATATTTATGTAACGTGATGCATATATTTTTAAGTAAAGAATGTTACACGAACTCAAATATTTATGTAGTGCGATGCATATATTTTTAAGTAAAGAATGTTGCGTGAACTCAAATATTTATGTAACGCGATGCATATATTTTTAAGTAAATAATGTTACGTGAACTCAAATATTTATGTAGTGCGATGCATATATTTTTAAGTAAAAAATGTTGCATGAACTCAAATATTTATGTAACGCGATGCATATATTTTTAAGTAAAGAATGTTGTGTGAACTCAAATATTTATGTAACGTGATGCCTATATTTTTAAGTAAAGAATGTTGCGTGAACTCAAATATTTATGTAACGCGATGCATATATTTTTAAGTAAAGAATGTTGTGTGAACTCAAATATTTATGTAACGTGATGCCTATATTTTTAAGTAAAGAATGTTACACGAACTCAAATATTTATGTAACGTGATGCATATATTTTTAAGTAAAGAATGTTGCGTGAACTGAAATATTTATGTAACGCGATGAATATATTTTTAAGTAAAGAATGTTGCGTGAACTCAAATATTTATGTAGCGCGACGCATATATTTTTAAGTAAAGAATGTTGCGTGAACTCAAATATTTATGTAACACGATGCATATATTTTTAAGTAAAAAATGTTACGTGAACTCAAATATTTATGTAACGCGATGCATATATTTTTAAGTAAAGAATGTTACGTGAACTCAAATATTTATGTAGCGCGATGCATATATTTTTAAGTAAAGAATGTTGCGTGAACTCAAATATTTATGTAACGCGATGCATATATATTTAAGTAAAGAATGTTGCGTGAACTCAAATATTTATGTAACGCGATGCATATATATTTAAGTAAAGAATGTTACGTGAACTCAAATATTTATGTAACACGATGCATATATTTTTAAGTAAAAAATGTTGCGTGAACTCAAATATTTATGTAACGCGATGCATATATTTTTAAGTAAAGAATGTTACGTGAACTCAAATATTTATGTAACACGATGCATATATTTTTAAGTAAAAAATGTTGCGTGAACTCAAATATTTATGTAACGCGATGCATATATTTTTAAGTAAAGAATGTTACGTGAACTCAAATATTTATGTAGCGCGATGCATATATTTTTAAGTAAAGAATGTTGCGTGAACTCAAATATTTATGTAACGCGATGCATATATATTTAAGTAAAGAATGTTGCGTGAACTCAAATATTTATGTAACGCGATGCATATATTTTTAAGTAAAGAATGTTGCGTGAACTCAAATATTTATGTAACGTGATGCATATATTTTTAAGTAAAGAATGTTGCGTGAACTCAAATATTTATGTAGCGCGATGCATATATTTTTAAGTAAAGAATGTTGCGTGAACTCAAATATTTATGTAGCGCGATGCATATATTTTTAAGTAAAGAATGTTACGCGAACTCAAATATTTATGTAGCGCGATGCATATATTTTTAAGTAAAGAATGTTGCGTGAACTCAAATATTTATGTAACACGATGCATATATTTTTAAGTAAAAAATGTTGCGTGAACTCAAATATTTATGTAACGCGATGCATATATTTTTAAGTAAAGAATGTTACGTGAACTCAAATATTTATGTAGCGCGATGCATATATTTTTAAGTAAAGAATGTTGCGTGAACTCAAATATTTATGTAACGCGATGCATAAAAGAATGTTGCGTGAACTCAAATATTTATGTAACGCGATGCATATATATTTAAGTAAAGAATGTTGCGTGAACTCAAATATTTATGTAACGTGATGCATATATTTTTAAGTAAAGAATGTTGCATGAACTCAAATATTTATGTAGCGCGATGCATATATTTTTAAGTAAAGAATGTTACGTGAACTCAAATATTTATGTAGCGCGATGCATATATTTTTAAGTAAAGAATGTTGCGTGAACTCAAATATTTATGTAACGCGATGCATATATATTTTTAAGTAAAGAATGTTGCGTGAACTCAAATATTTATGTAGCGCGATGCATATATATTTAAGTAAAGAATGTTGCGTGAACTCAAATATTTATGTAACGCGATGCATATATTTTTAAGTAAAGAATGTTGCGTGAACTCAAATATTTAAGTACATTATAACATATAACATATATTTTAAGTAAAATGATTCCAAGTCGGGATTACTTAAAAAGTATGATGCAAAAATGGTGCGTATATATATTTTAATTAAATCCAACATATAATTTTTAGAGTGTATGCAGTGGCATAATGCTTACCTCTGTTATTCACATGCGTCCATTTATAAAACTTCCCCTTATAAGGGACTGTGTTAAAGCGGGTGCACTGAATGTATCTGAAGCTGGGCTGGTCCACAGGGCAGGGTTCACGGTTACAGGTCCGATATCTGCGCCGTTCTCCCAGACAGTATTTACCGCCATATTTGGGTCTAAAAAAAAAGCATGAAACATTCAAAACGCCATTAGGTCATTCAAAATCACTTGTTATTTGTAGAAATATTCACAAAAGAGACGCATTCTCATCCTAGGGCGTCATATAGTGACGCTTTTGAAATTTCGTCTAAAATCCAGCGCACATTGCACCCTTTAACAAACGCACAGAGCTTTGTTCGGTTATGGGTAGGTTTAGGTCTGGGGTAGTGTTAGGGTTAGACCACTAGGAGGCGCCTTCTGGCCCTAAAGGGTGCCATGTGCTGGTGTTGGATGTAGATGAAATGTCAAAAGCGTCAGTATATGACACCTTGGGATGAGGCCTGGCTGAAAAGGCACATATAGGCTAGTCAAAAAGCTTGAAATTGGAATAAAATGGTCTAGATCACCTTGTCAAAGCAGCCATTGGCTCTAAGCGCAATTAAAAACATATTTATCTGAATACAATATGAAAGGTGCCTGTGCAAAACTCCCTGGCATGATTGCATGTGTGTGGTCTGGGTGGCTGTTCAAAGGAATAGTTGAACTAAAATATTTAACTTTTCTATGAAACAGAAGATGTTATTTTTGTGCATTTTTGTCACATAATGGTAGGCGTCTCAAACAAACATCTAAAAGCTTAATTCATAGTTGCACATTAAACAGGGACAGGAGAAATGATCTTAACATCAAATCAAAATGTATTTTTTTTTTCTCTTAAATGGAAGATAATTGTTGTTATCTTTTTCCCACATCCTTGAAAAGTTGATGCAGATGTTGCACATGCTTTCCATCAATTACAACATCTTAGAGATGCATTCACATGTAGGCCACAATCTGTTTCTAGAACCATCTCCATCTTTAAAAACTTGCTTCGAGTGCAAACCATCTGCCAGAATAGAGAATAGCAAGCCAAATACATTGAAATCATTATACTTCACAAACTCTGAACATGTGGACCAGAGACAGTGACTTGTTTTATTAGTCTAGCAATGCTCTCCAATATTGAATGTATTCACGATTTCTCATCATCAGAACCACAGAGACACATAAAGGCCACTGAGGATGACGGAGGTTAGGCTATACATGATCAATATGTATGTATAAAATGATGATATTCATAATGCATTATATATTTGTAACTAGGGCTGGGTAATAAATATCGATTTCTCGATATTAATCGATTCTCATTTTTACAAACCGATATCGATTCTTATTATATTATTATATATTATATATTATATTCTTATTATTTCATCTATGTTGAGTAGGCTATGAAAAGGGAACCGCATGAGATGAGTAAGATAGGATCAAAATTCAAAAGCTGCCCAATATCGGAAAATATTTGGAGTGCGTCAGACATGATTTTGACCACTTATTAAGTTTTGTTTTGTAGAAAGCTTGTAAATTTCGTTTCATATAAACTGTATCTTCATTTTAATAAATGTTTCATCGACAAATTGACTAGATTAATACATTAGAAGTAAATATCAGACAATATAATCAGGACACAGAGGCGCGCAGGTGAACCGGAGCGCGTCTCATAATATGAACCGAAACACCGCGATGCTTGCCTCACACAGGCCTGAGAACTAAGCTACAGAAAGCTTTAAATATCTACTTTTAAACAAAACAATTAAAAACTAAAATAAATTGGCAACTCTCTGCGTATGTAGGCTAATTCGAAGTATGCGTTTCTCTATGCGCGTTCAGTGAACGCCGTTCACTGCGAAGATGGCGAGTAAGCATCATCAACTTTATCTTTGTTGCTGACACTGACAGAAAACACTAGTTTATTAATAAACAATTCAAATGTTTCATGCATAATCATTACTTTTGCCGGTTCTTTGTGGCAAGCTTTATGCATACGTTGAGATGCGGAATATGCAATTAAAAACGCTCATATGGTTTCTCTCCCATTTAATTAAATCAATATATGTGATTACTGATAATACAAATGGCTTAAATGATCTACTACTAGTCGACTAGAAAACTAGGACTCATTTTGAGGAATGAATGAACATAATAAACCTCTGTTCAGAGCGCCGCCGTGCTGGATTGTGTAGAGCGCTCATTGAATTTGAGGATTTATCGTGTTTAGGCTAAAAACAGGGCTGGCGCTTATCGTGGTTTGGAAAGAAACTGTATCTTGCAGTACATTTTAAACAAGGAAATATAGCGATTCGGCATGAAACGTTGATAGAGCAGTGAAAGGGTTCTGTCCACAGCAGAATGACACGACAAACTCATTTTTTTTAAAAATGTCGTTTAACGCGTTTTGGAAAAGAGCTCTTCATATATAGACCATAGTTTACAGCATTTAAGAGATTTGATTCCCTTGAGAAAATTTGCCATTTATTGTAACTGATATCCAAAATAATCGATATTGAATCGAATCGTAATCGAATCGAATTGCAAGCTTGTGAATCGAAATCGAATCGAATTGTGAAATTTGTCTCAATACCCAGCCCTATTTGTAACCAACAGTAAAATGCATTATATTAATTGCAGATTCCTTGTTACATCTAAAATTGGTTGTTTGTCATGCATTATACTTTTAAAGGCATGACATAAGTTCTGTTATGTATTATAGCTGTGGAGACAATACAATGCATTATTGGGCTTACCACTTTATTTTTACAGTGTCATTGTTACATGTAGTTGCTATAGTAATAATAATAACTACAATTGTGCATAATTACCAAAAACCCCAAACCTAACCCTATAGTAAGTACATGTAGTTAATTACAGTAATATTACTCAGTAACAAAGATACCTTTGAAAAAAACGGTAACCGGTATCTTTGTTACATGTTATGTGTAGTTAGTAATAATAACTATATATTATGCATAAATACATGCAACTAAACCCAATCCTAACCCTATATTAGTTGATTATTTCTCAGCACTTAAATGAATAATTCGACTGTAACCCTTATTTATAACAGTAAGGATAATGGTGTGGTTTAGGGTTAGTTGCATATAATTATGTGTAATTATGTGTAATTACTATTGTAACTACATGTAAGAAGGACAATGCATTGAAATAGGTTTATAATGCATTATATATAAAGGCTTACAAAATTGATGTCTGCAAAATAAACACACACTCAAACACTAAATATCATTTCCCTGTCAACCATAAACATGCTAGCCTTCTCCCATACAATCGATGATAAAAATAGCTCCTCCCACTCGCACGTGCTTTTGTGTGTGTGTCATATTTTCTTTCTTTTTTTTCTGAAACAAGAAACTAGGAAACTCACTGTTTGTGATGGGCAGGTTTAGGGGTCGGTTTAGTGTGTGTGTGTGTGTGTGGCAGGTTTAGGGGTAGGGTAAGTGTATATACAGTTTGGACAGCATAAAACCCATTACGCCTATGGAAACAAATGTGTGTGTTTTCTTCTTCTGAAACTGGAAACAGAGGAAACCAGGACACTCACACTGGGTTGGCACAGTCCCTCTGGCATTCTGAACGCCCGTGCCGCAGGTCCTGGTGCACTCGGACCAGTCGCTCCACGAATCCCAGCCTCCATTCACGCTTTCAGGCTGGGAGCCCGCCACCACACACTCACCGTCAAAACACCACTGACAAAAACAAAAGATCTTCAGTTAGTCAGAGTCCAAGGAACTGGAAGGAGAACTCGCAGGTGAACGGCATGCAGGGAAATGAAAACCCCGGCTTGCCTTGTCCTCTCCACACTTGGTCCCATCCACGGCCCCGTCCAGCCTGGAGTGACAGGTCGAGCCCACCGTACACCACAGGGTGCTGCACATGTTCTGCAGGGGGCAGTCATTTCAAGGGTTTCAATCATTTATAATATTAGATTATTGGGGCTTTCTCAATAGGAATGAAGTACCCGGATGAGGATCGATTTTAGCTCTTTTGGAGGAACTAATTTAGCTGCTACTTCAGAGTCGGTCTAAACCAGCGCTATAGGAACTATCCGTGACGTTAGTGTTCGCTGATTGGCCGAAGGCACGTGAAACTCCAGCACCCGCCATTTTAAAAAAAAGGGGACCAAGAGAAACATGATTATGTATTTCTGGTTCGCTGGACATCAACCACACGGCATATGCTACCGGTAATAACTTTAGCGTAGAACATCCCACACTCTTAGAAGAAAAGGTTCTATATGGAACCTTAAAAGTTCTATCAGCGATATGTATTTGGAATCCCTAAAAGGTTCTTAATCACTCTTAAAAAATATATAGAACCCTGGGGTTCCGTACTTGGCCAATAGAACCTTTTACCAAAAAAAATGGTTCTATATAGAACCATTTTGGAGTTCCAAATATGAAGTGGGGGATGGAACCATTTCTGGTTCAAAATAGAACCATTTCTTCTATGAGTGCAAAGACGTTCAATGAGTTTAAGGAGCCGATTCATGTGTGGAAATGACTCATCACAACCATTCTTTCACAGTTTGAGCCTTTGACATATCATCCTGGAATATGGCCGTCATGTTCTTCATAAATGTTATTTAAGAAATTAACCTAACGTTTTTAAAAAATAATAAGTTTATATTAGCATCTAATGGGGAAAAAGAGGTACTGCACCCAAACAAAATTTCTTGAGATATCAACCTCAAATTTGGAACACGACTTGTTTAAATCTATGGCTTTGATTTTCTAGCATTTTAAAATATATATTTTATATACTAAATTATTTATTAACTTAAACCTTTTGTTATTTCACTTTTTAACCTTTTTTTTTAATTCAACAACCAAGGTTTCCAAGGGTCATGTTTAAAATAAGACCACACTTCAAGGAATAGTTCAATATTAAAAAAAAAAAAAACCAAACTTTTGCTGATAATTTACTCACCCCCATGTCATCCAAGATGTCCGTGTCTTTCATTCTTCAGTCGAAAAGAAATTAAGGTTTTTGATGAAAACATTCCAGGATTTTCTCCATATAATGGACTTTAATGGGAACCAAACGGTTCAAGGTCCAAAAGAGAGTTTCAGTGCAAACTGTTCAAAGGGCTTTAAACGATTCCAGACGATGAATAAGGGTCTTATCAAGCGAAACGATCGATCATTCGAAAAATAGATAACAAAGTTTAAGTTTTATACACACAAATGGCTCAACGAACGAAATGAACGAATTGACTCCGAAAAAGATTCGTTCATTTTGATGAACGAGTTCGAACAGGAGAGTCACGAACGCGCATCACAGAACAGAGCAAGGCGAGCATTTGAGCTTATAAAACTTAAACGTTGTTTTTTTTTTTAAATGAGCGATCGTTTCGCTTGATAAGACCCTTATTCATCGTCTGGAATCGTTTAAAGCCCTTTGAACAGTTTGCACTGAAACTGTCTTTTGGACCTTGAACTGTTTGGTTCCCATTGAAGTCCATTATATGGAGAAAATCCTGGAATGTTTTGATCAAAAACCTTAATTTCTTTTCGACTGAAGAAAGAAAGACATGGACATCTTGGATGACATGAGGGTGAGTAAATTATCAGCAAAAGTTTTTTTAAAGTAAACTACTCCTTTAAGTCTTTAAATTCCTATGACACTCAATTATGTCAGGGCATACAGTAAATCTGAGATGGTGGATTTGTGTCCTGTTAATATCTATAAGAGCATTAATATTCTCAAGACTTTTACGAAATGGCAAATCTTGTGTACCAAACACAAACATTAATTGCATTTCTTAACCTCTGCAATTTCCTCTGTTTCACTGCTTGAACTGTAACAGCCCTGATAAGGAAGCTGAAGTCTGGCTTTATCTGTGTCCGAAGGAGCGAGTGGCAACTCCTCCGCTGTGTCTGTGACATTTGGACAGTAATTGGAGCGATGGCTAGTATCTGTCAACAGCAGAAAGCAGAAAACATCGCTGATGCGACTTGACATACATGACCGACACACAACCCAGCAATCTGATGCCCTTTTCCCTATATTAATTCTGCAGGACGCCATTCAAACCGGATACGCTGTTTTCCCCCGTATTGTTCAGCTAGCTTGGTGAGAAATATTCAAGGTAAAGAGCTCTATGGGCCCTATCTTGCACCCGGCACAAATACACTAACACATGTATCATTCCTATTTTGACTTTTCCCTCCACAGACGCACATCGCTAAACTAGGGAATGAATTTGCGCTCCCTGGGTGGGTCGGTGCAAAAAGGAGGCGTGTTTCGGCGCAAACAATCCCTAGTGCTATTTTACAGTTCCAGAAAACAATTGCGCCACTGACCAGAAAAAAAAACAAGTCTAAAGTCAGTGGCGTTGCGCGTACATTCAGATGCTATTTTAAGCGCGCATGCTTGGCCATAATAAAGAGTGAACAACGCGCATTTACTGTAGATGATTCTCTCATCTACACAGATGCATTTTACTTTTGCAGAGCAAAAGGAAAACTATTAAAACAGGAGGGAAATCATTGTTGTGTCCATGACGATGGGAAAAAGGGAAAATAAGCATGTTTAACCAAAGCTAATTTGACTGTGTTTGTCCCATCCCCAAAGTCATTTCTCTTTCGTTTACGGCCCTGACGAGAACATCGATCTGAAGCGCGTCAGGTACACTCTCACAAAAAAAGGTACAAAAGCTGTCACTGGGGCTGTAACTTTTCAAAAGGTACACTTTTGTACCCAAAGGCTGCATATTGGTACCTTAGTAGTACATTAGCACCTAAAATGTACATGTTAGCACCTAAAATGTAAATATTAGCACCTAAAAATGTACATATATTAGGACTTAAAATGGACATATTACCACCTAAAATGGACATATTAGGACCTAAAATGTAAATATTAGCACCTAAAATGTACATATTAGGACCTAAAATGTACATATTAACATCTAAAATGTACATATTAGCACCTAAAATGGACATAATTAGCTCCTGAAATTTACATATTAGCACCTAAAATGTACTTATTAGGACCTAAAATGTACATATTAGCACCTAAAATGTACTTATTAGGACCTAAAATGGTATTAGCACCTAAAATGGACATATTAACACTTAAAATAAACATATTAGCACCTAAAATGTACATATTAACACCAAAAATGTAAATATTAGGACCTAAAATGTACTTATTAGCACCTAAAATGTACTTCTTAGGACCTAAAATGAACATAATTAGCTCCTGAAATATACATATTAGCACCTAAAATGGACATAATTAGCTCCTGAAATTGACATAGTAGCACCTAAAATGTGCATATTAGCACCTGAAATGTACATAATAGCACCTAAAATGGACATATTAGCTCCTAAAATGGACAAAAGTTTACCTTTGTATGTGTAAACGGGCCGTTATAATAGAATTGCGCCATGGAACAAGCGCACCTTGTTCATCAATGTGATATGACGCTCTGATTGGTTTGTTTCCCGTTATGCCCAAACCACACCTATGAATAATGAAGCTATCCCGCTGGTTAAACAGCAACAGCACCCAAGACCCGGCCACAAAGTGTGCTTTTGTTTCCCACTAAAACAGCTGGGAATCAGATGGTACTGATGTAAGTAACGGAGACTTCCTCTGTGATGGAAAAGTGTGTGTGTGGTCTATACCCTTCCAGACACTTGAACTAGAAAAGGTTCACAATATAACAGTGAGAACATTTGAGAAGCCCATGGGCCTGGAAATACACGACGTGCTTATGAGAACGTTTCCTAAAGCGATCCGATTCAGAACAGCATCCCAGCAGACAAGACATTTGTTGTGTGTCTGTTCTGTTACATGGACGAAAGAAACTACATGACCTGAACTCTGGCTTCACAGTTAAGCCAAATTAAAGAATTATTTAGTGTGACGTCAATATCAGGCCAACGTAATGTTGATTTAGTAGTTCGAAACAGCTTGCCAAAGCGAACTCTCCAGAAAAATATTTATAACTAAACCGGCTGGGAAACGCCTCTGAACTCCCATTGGTCCCTGGTGATGATGTAATAGGTGATGATGTAATACATGTAAATCCATAGATATCTATATAAAGGCTAGATGTCTTAAGGCAGAGTTTCTATCGTCATCACCGGCGGCCATCTTGTCACAGGCAAGCTGATGCAAGATGAGTGGTCAGAACGAACACAAATAATCTTGACGGATTTACAAACGTTATTAACGTGGCTATAATTATCTGGATGATTATTTATTTATACACTTATTATTCATAAGAATGCAGTGTCATAACTACATCTCTGACGTTTATAACAAACCAAACCGTTTGAAAATCGGTAGAAAATTGAGCAAGTTATGGTTATTTTAATAATACATGTACCATTAACACGATGTAACGAGTGAGCGAGCTGACTGTGGCAAGATGGCCGCCAGGTGCAGACGTCGACCTCCATTGGCCAGCAGCGTGGACGACATATCTAGCCTTTATATAGATATCTATGAGTAATCTGCTCCGGTTCATTTCTTCTTGAGATCAGACACACTGGACCGAACACACAAAAGTAAAAGTATTTTGATAAAACCAGACTAGTTTGCAAAATTGTGTTGAAAAACTGTAAGAAGAAGCGCTAATATACTTTTTCTGCTGGGAACTGTAAAAAAAAGTAGGCTATAATGTAACCTACATTATAGCCTACTTTTTTTTTGACAGTTCCCAGCAGAAAACGTCTCGCTCCATCCGCACTTCATAAACAGATCATTTAAGACACTTCTCTACACCTCTGACCCATTTTCCTCAGTAGTTTGGCATCACACATGTGTCTGCAGGGGGAATGGGAGGTATCCGTGGGTTTAAGGGGAAGATCTTACGTCTACGTCGTCACAGAGCAGTGAGTTTGACCCGTACTGGAGCTTGCACTGGTGGGCGGCGCTGTACAGGACGCCGGCGGGAGACGAACGCTTCGACAGCTCGTTTCTGACGGGAGGATCATCCAGACACCAGCCCCAGCCTCGACTGTGGAGAACAACACACAAACACATTCTCACGTCAGCACTTTCATAACTTCCAATGTTACATTATCTGTTTATTGTTTATTTATATAGTTTTTACCACTTGTAACCACAGCCACGTCCAACTGATCTGAGGGAGCGGCGCTTCGGTCAAAACTATATAAATACTGTTCGTTTTCTCACACAAACCGCTCGTTTCGGGTCTTAGGCCATCAATGTGTCCTTACATTTACGAGCCATTAAAATCATGTTTAATTTGGACTTCTCTGTGCAAGACAAGAACGGTTTGACCTAAAAATATCAAAATTGAAACTACTTCGGAAACAAAGACACCTACATCTTGGATGCCCTTGAGGTACGCTAAAACATACCAAAAAATAATTTCAAAGTGAACTATCCCTTTAATTAAGTTTTTGTACTAAAACTCACACACACAACAGCTGGAACTGACACATCGGGTAATTGGATACATGGTGCTGCCAATCTCCTTTTATAAGCACACAATTGAGTAAAGACTGAACAAGGAGAGGTTCCTTCGGGACACATCTGTCTGTAAGCCTCCCAAACCACATGGTCCTTCCCTCAAATTCTCTGTAACACAGTCCCTATTCAAAAAAACAACCAGCACAGTGTGTAAATTACATTAATATCGTTCACAGGGCTTTACAATACACACAAAAAAGACATTAAAAGAAAGAGACTAACAGAGATTTGAACTGGAACGACAAGAGGATGAATTTACTGAATCGAACACAGGAAATGATATCATGGGAAATTAATTGTTTACACACAATGACCACAACATGTAACTCATGCACAACCCCCTGAACCACTTCTGCTAAACTACAAGCACAATTCCTGCTTTACACTCTGAAACACACTTTTTTCAAAACACTACACACAATTATCTGGCACAATTTTCATGCACCATTCAGACATGCACACACTTACTCGTCACATGGGCAAACACCCATCACACAGTTTTACAAATTAGCAATCAGAGCTTTAAGACAAAACAGAGGAGAGGATGCAGCGTAATTATTTATTTTTAACTGCAAGCAGTACATTTTTTCTGTTGTTTTGTATGTAGACCACTGTATGTGCGACTGTGTGTTGGTTGGGATGTACATTGTTTTTGAGGGAAAAATAAAATTTATTTGTTACCATGTATGTGTGTTCTGGGTGTAAAAACAATATTCTCAAATATTTTACCAAATATTTACTATTTACAAATATTTACAAATATCTACTCAAACATTTTAACACACTTATGTATGTACTGTCAAAAAGAGGCCTAAGTCATTATGATGAATGGAGAATAAGTGTTTTCCATTTATCAGTGTTTACAACCACACTGTAAAAATGAATATACTTCATCTAATCAAAAAAAAAATTGTGGCAACAGATTACAAGCAATATTATTAATTAAATTTAACAAATTAGAATTGAGTAATAATTAATCAAATCCAAATCAATTCCTTAAAAGTTAACCAATTAAAATGAGTAAAACTTACAACAACCAAAAAAAAAAAAAAAACATTTTTAAGTCACCATTATGGTGATCAGTGTTTGTTTTAAAATTACGGTTTTCTCCTTCAGTGATTCTGCTTGTTAACAAAAATAAAGAGTTCTTAATTAATCTTTGACATCTGTCTGTTAGTGAGATATTTTTGTTATATTTTTTGGCGTAAACTTTACTCATTTTAAATGGTTAGCTTTTAAGGAATAATTTAATTCATTATTACTCAATTCTAATTTGTTAAATTTAATTAATAATATTGCTTGTAATCTGTTGCCACAATTCTATTGATTAGATAAAGAATATGTATTTTTACAGTGTGGTTCTTATAATTGTCTATTCATATGGTGGTTTGCATGTCATTTGAAAACAAAATACCGTACCATTTTGAGAATAAATAACATTGTTTTGAATGTAAAGTTTCATTTTGCAGGAGAATTGATGGGTTTTGCCAATTATGTGTGTGTGTTTTTTGATTTGTGTGTAGAGTTCTGAGAGTGTGAGGAAAAATTATCCTGTAAAAAAGCAGTAAACTATACTGGCGGCTGTGGTTTCCAGCATCATACGGTAAAAATACGGTGTGTTACTGTTTTTGAAATCAACAGCTAAATACCGTATTGTCAGCTACAGTATAAAACTTTCATTTAACAGCTATATGCTCTAACACAAAAACAGTAACGCACCGTATAGTTACGGGATGATGCTGCCAACTACAGCTGCCAGTAGTTTACCGCTTTTTACAGGATTTTTTTTACAGTGTATGTAAACAATCGTCCATTAACTCTTTTTTTTTCAGTCACGTATGAAATATTGAGAATATGGAGCTCACATAAATAACACAATTTGGCACAGTTGTTGTTATTTACAGTATATGCCCAGAAAAAAATTATATTTACTGCTTTTTACAGGATTTTTTTTACAGTAAACAATCGAGAAAAACTGTAAGGGTCCATAAACTCTTTTTTTTTCAGTCGCATATGAAATATTGAGAATATGGAGCTCACATAAATATCACAATTTGGCAAAGTTGTTGCTATTTAGAGTATATGCCCAGAAAAAAATTATATTTACCGTTTTTTACAGGATTTTTTCTTTACAGTGCGTGTAAACAATCAAGAAAAACTGTAAGTGTCCATAAACTCGTTTTTTCAGTCGCGTATGAAATATTGAGAATATGGAGCTCACATAAATATCACAATTTGGCAAAGTTGTTGCTATTTAGAGTATATGCCCAGAAAAAAATTATATTTACCGCATTTTACAAAATTTTTATTTACAGTGTGTGTAAACAATCAAGAAAAACTGTAAGTGTCCATAAACTCTTTTTTTCTGTCGTAAATGAAATTTTGAGAATATGGAGCTCACATAAATAACACAATTTGGAAAAGTTTTTGTTATTTACAGTATATGCCCAGAAAAAAAATTATATTTACCGCTTTTTACAGAATTTTTATTTACAGTGTGTGTAAACAATCAAGAAAAACTGTAAGTGTCCATAAACTCGTTTTTTCAGTCGCGTATGAAATATTGAGAATATGGAGCTCACATAAATATCACAATTTGGCAAAGTTGTTGCTATTTAGAGTATATGCCCAGAAAAAAATTATATTTACCGCATTTTACAAAATTTTTATTTACAGTGTGTGTAAACAATCAAGAAAAACTGTAAGTGTCCATAAACTCTTTTTTTCTGACATAAATGAAATATTAAGAATATGTAGCTCACATAAATAACACAATTTGAAAAAGTTGTTGCTATTTATAGTATATCCCCAGAAAAAAATTTATATTTACCGCTTTTTACAGGATTTTTTTACAGTAAACAATAAAGAAAAACTGTAAGTGTCCATTAACTCTTTTTTTTCAGTCGCGTATGAAATATTGAGAATATGGAGCTCACATAAATATCACAATTTGGCACAGTTGTTGTTATTTACAGTATATGCCCAGAAATGATGATAACTTGCAATGTAAATCAGACTAATGTACATTTAAACATCAATTGTTACTCTATATCTGGTAATAATATGTCTTAGAAAGATGAAATAAAGTCTTTTTTACATCTTGTGCCACTGTAGATATCCAAACAATGATCTAACGTCTCTCATCAGAGTGTAACAGTAACACACAGATCGACTAATATAATGGTAGGCCTGAGCAATCAAAACTTAAAGGCATTAAGATAACCTAATTTCTCATTTGCTGATGTATCCGTTTGGCCTAGATATTGTAACATATCCTGTGTTTGGGCACTGGCAGATGTGTTAAACATTTCCCCTCATTTCAGGCCAAGCTGCAGTAGGCAAGCCTTGTCTAATGTCCTCCATATGGCAGGCAACACAACTAGTGTTACGAAGACAGAAGAATCAACACAGCCGGACTCCTTCTTCTTGGGAAATCTCATCCATTCACACACATGCATGCATGCAAAGGTCAAAAAGGACAGAGCCAGCTTGTTGAGGGGGTAAAAAACTGATAAAGCTGCTCCAATGAACTCCATTAAGTATAAAAATCAAAGGGTACAACGATTACTCCAATTTGTGCCATCTGTCCATTTTATGCAATAGTTATTCATTACACAACTTGGAGGAATGCTTTCATGTCCCTTCTTCTCTCCATATTAATAATAAAAAAAATACTGTGACAATGTTTCTATTTTTTACAAGATGCATTTATATTTCACAACTTATAACCATATATTTCATTAAGTGGTGTAATGTTCATATGCCTACTTTAACTACCAAATCCATTTTAAAAACATAGCAAATAATACAATGTACCACAATAATGCATTGACTTGTTCATAAAACACAGTCAATACGCATATATAGATGTTGACACACTCTTGACACTAAAAAATGCACTAAATATCATCAAATGTAACAAAAAAACACTAATGTACATTATAAAACATGCAATCATGTGTGATTTGTAATGCAGGGAATGTTTTTACAGTAAATTCAATTTCAAATACCATACATTTGACAGAATTTGACTGTTAAACCATTTACAGGTTTTCACCATATGGTAAGGTAACAAAGTTAACCAATTAACATGTTTTCACTGTAACTTTTTACAATATTTTTCTGCCATTTTTTTTTAACAGTACAGGTGAAACTCGAAAAATGAGAATATGGTGCAAATTGCAAAAGTTCATTTATTTCAGTAATTAAACTTAAAAGGTGAAACTTATATATTATGCAAAGTGAGATATTTCAAGCCTTTATTTGTTATAATTTTGATTATTATGGCTTACGGCTTATAAAAACACCAAATTCAAAATGAGAATATTGTGAAAAGGTTTTCATATCTGTAAGAAAAGCTGTGTTAAAAAAAGGAGAGGCATGGTTGTTGACTTACTCGAGGAAGCGTGTGATGTACTGACGACTGCAGCGAGACCAGTTTGGCGGAGAGGTGCCGTACAGGAGCTGTGGAGACATGACGAAAGGCCTTTTCCCGATGGGCTCGCAGTCGTTGCCGTTCCCGTCGTGCTGAATCCCAAAGCTGTGGCGTGAGAGCAGATCGGACAGTGAGAGGCGAGAGAACAGATGGATTGGCTTTACAACAGATTTCGATGTTCCTTTGAGCTTTTTTTGTTTCTGTGCTAAGCTTACAGTATTGTTCTTGCTTCATATTTAAAGTTGTAATGGTTTAATCGAACTTGTAGGGTCATTATAAACAAATACCCGCTCCGGACATTCCGGTTCTCCAGACATGAGTTCTCCAGACATAGAATTGCATTATAAGTGCATTACTATTCAAACAAATGCAGAGGGCATGCGAAGAAAATAATTTTCTGTGAATAATGTTACAGATGCTGTTGCTAAAGCTTGTTTTGAGCATTTCATTGCATTTTGAGCATGAACTGTACATTGATTAAATTCACATTTTCCCATACACTTTTAGAAGAAAAGGTTCTATATAAAACCTTAAAAGCTTCTATCAGTGCTACGTATTTGGAACCCCTAAAAGGTTCTATACACTCCTAAAAAAGGGTTCCTCTGGGTTCTATATAGAACCCTGGGGTTCCATACTTGGCCAATAGAACATTTTACCAAAAAAATGGTTCTATATAGTACCCTGGGGTTCCATACTTGGCCAATAGAACCTTTTACCAAAAAAAATGGTTCGATATAGAACCCTGGGGTTCCATACTTAGCCAATAGAACCTTTTACCAAAAAAATGGTTCTATATAGAACCCTGGGGTTCCATACTTGGCCAATAGAACATTTTACCAAAAAAATGGTTCTATATAGTACCCTGGGTTTCCATACTTGGCCAATAGAACCTTTTACCAAAAAAAATGGTTCGATATAGAACCCTGGGGTTCCATACTTGGCCAATAGAACCTTTTACCAAAAAAATGGTTCTATATAGAACCCTGGGGTTCCATACTTGGCCAATAGAACCTTTTACCAAAAAAATGGTTCAATATAGAACCCTGGGGTTCCATACTTGGCCAATAGAACCTTTTACCAAAAAAATGGTTCTATATAGAACCCTGGGGTTCCATACTTGGCCGAAAGAACCTTTTACCAAAAAAATGGTTCTATATAGAACCCTGGGGTTCCATACTTGGCCAATAGACCTTTTACCAAAAAAATGGTTCAATATAGAACCCTGGGGTTCCATACTTGGCCAATAGAACCTTTTACCAAAAAATGGTTCGATATAGAACCCTGGGTTCCATACTTGGCCGAAAGAACCTTTTACCAAAAAAAATGGTTCTATATAGAACCCTGGGGTTCCATACTTGGCCAATAGAACATTTTACCACAAAATTGGTTCTATATAGTACCCTGGGGTTCCATACTTGGCCAATAGAACCTTTTACCAAAAGAAATGGTTCGATATAGAACCCTGGGGTTCCATACTTAGCCAATAGAACCTTTTACCAAAAAAAGGTTCTATATAGAACCCTGGGGTTCCATACTTAGCCAATAGAACCTTTTACCAAAAAAATGGTTCTATATAGAACCCTGGGGTTCCATACTTGGCCAATAGAACCTTTTACCAAAAAAATGGTTCTATATAGAACCCTGAGGTTCTATACTTGGCCAATAGAACCTTTTACCAAAAAAAAATGGTTCTATATAGAACCCTGGGGTTCCACACTTGGCCAATAGAACCTTTTACAAAAAAATGGTTCTATATAGAACCATTTTGGAGTTCCATATATTAAGCGGGGTATGGAACCATTTCTGGTTCTAAATAGAACCATTTCTTCTAAGAGTGTATATTACACAGACTCCAATAGTCTCAGCAATGGCAGTCTAGAAACACAGTTACTGAGTCCTGCTGTGCTTCACTGTTTATCATGAAATCATTGTTTATATCTCTATGTGGTGTGTGACCACAAACATTTTCAAAAGGCATGTGCGCAGAACAAACGGCACGAGATCAAATGAGCTCTAAGTCGAAGCACAAGTCTCAAATATGCCATTTAACAGCACGTTCTTAAGAGAAAACAACAAAAGAAATCCCATCCACTAGGCTTCAGAAGTCATTTTTCGGCCGCCTTCATTTACATAATGGTCTGGCACAAACACTGACCTCTTAAAAACTATTTCATGTAATCTTGAAGGGAAAGATACACAATAAATCAAACACATCTGAATGACATGCTGGCTCAAATTCAGCAACTGTAATTGGTACCAGAAAGAAATTGGTCTCTCGTATAGGAATATAGCGAGTGAATATTCAGCCTTACACTGCCTGCAGTAAAGTGTGTGTTACTGGACTATTAAAGCCACAGAACTAATGCATGTTTCATCAAGGACACCTTGGCTTTCGGAGACACGCAAAATGAGCAATTTACATATGCAACACTGTCTAGTTTTAGTGAGACTGTATTGCTTTCGAAACAGGAGTGTGTGTGTGTGTGTGTGCGGTTTCCCTACAGTAGTTCAGGCTGCAGGATTTCTAATGTCTAAAGAAACTCCATCGAAATACATTTCTTGTCTATTATCACCATCTGCAATTTGGACGGAAACAAACGCAGGTACAATAGCAAAACAATATTGTAATGTAATAGGTAGCACTTCAATGTTAATATGAATAAGAAGAGATTTGATTGCCATTGCGGGTTTTTTTTTTTTACTTTTATTCAGAAAGGATGCATTAAACTGATAAAAATGACAGTAAAGACTTTTAATTTCCAATAAATGCCGTTCTTTTAGGCTTTCTATTCATTAAAGAATTCTGAACACGGTTTCTACAAAATCTTGACCAAATTTTCAACGTTGATAATAATCAGAAATTAACATGCTTACAGTGAAAGGCTAACAGAAACAGAGCTAGTTTGTCACTTTTCTTGTTTTCTGTGTTAGTAGACACACCGATTACAGCACTCAATTATAGTTCAGCTTTAAAAAAACTTTTGCTGATAATTTACTCACCCCCATGTCATCCAAGATGTCCACGTCTCTATTTCTTCAGTCGAAAAGAAATTAAGGTTTTTGATGAAAACATTCCAGGATTTTCTCCATATAATGGACTTCAATGGGGTCCAAACAGTTCAAGGTCCAAATGAGAGTTTCAGTGCAAACTGTTCAAAGGGCTTTAAACGACACCAGACGATGAATAAGGGTCTTATCAAGCGAAACCATCGCTCATTTCAACAATAAATGCAAAAGTTTACATTTTATAAGCACACATCCTCTCCTGTTCAAAATAAAACGAACAAATCTTTTTTTGAGTCACTTGGTTGATTCAACGAACAAAATGACTCGAAAAAAAGATTCGTTCATTTTGAACAGGAGAGTTACGAACGCTCATCACAGGCGAGCATTTGAGCTTATAAAACTTAAACTTTTTCATTTATTTTTGAAATGAGCGATCGTTTCGCTTGATAAGACCCTTATTCATCGCCTGGAATCGTTTAAAGCCCTTTCAACGGTTTGCACCGTTTGGTTCCCATTGAAGTCTATTATATGGAGAAAATCCTGGAATGTTTTCATCAAAAACCTTCATTTCTTTTCGACTGAAGAAAGAAAGACATGGACATCTTGGATGACATGGGGGTGAGTGAATTATCAGCAAACGTTTTTTTTTTTTTAAAGTGAACTACTCCTTTAGATCACTCTTAGATTAACCGATTGACAGATAAAGTGTGTTCCAGCACTTACTTGTGTCCGAGCTCATGTGCAACCGTGAACGCCAGAGGAAGGCCAGTGTCTTCATTAATACTGCAGCTGCGGTGAGGCTGACACATCCCAGCCACATGAGACAGACCCAACGTCTCACAGGGCTTATTGATGGCGGCACAAATGTCTTTCCTGCGTCACAGACAAAGATGCATTATACTGTGTATGTAAAGCAATGTAAAGCTGATTAGAGTTAGGCCAGATGTACCTTGTGATCAGGACAGCCACGTCATGATGGACCGGATGGTCGTCGTCCTTCATGTTAATGCCTTTCTGCCACTTACAGAAGCTGTTCAGGCTGTGGTCGGCATGATGGCTGATCTTCAAATCCTCCTGATAATACATGATAGTATTCATTGTATTTACATCTATGTACAGTGTGTAAGTATGAGTTTAAATAAGAAATACAGTTGCATGGATTTGTGTAAAAGCAATTAGAAAATGGGTTTAAACACAATAATTACAGACGAGCAGTGGGAGACTTCATTCAGTCAAGGACACAGGGTAACCAGTAGCCCTAATTGGAAGGAATTTGGATGGAAAATTAAAATGAGATATTTTAGAACTCCATTCATAACATCAAAATGGAGCAATAATTCAGATAGCTGTTGGAGAGGTTGTGGCTTGGTGGGAGATCACACCCATATATTTTGGGACTGTCCAAGGATATTAGAATATTGGCAAAATATACAAAAAGAAATAAAAAAATGTCTTTGTATAGATCTACCTCTTGAACCATCATACTTTGTGCTAGGGATACTGCCAGCTGACCTTGAAGAGAATAACCAAAAATGTTTGCTGAGACTCCTTCTTTTAATAGCAAACAAAGCAATCACAGCCTCGTGGCTGAAGCCACACCCTCCAACGGTTGCACAATGGAGGGATAGAATACAGGATGTTTATACATAGTTCCCACAGGCAAAAAAATTGTCACGTGACCTCCCCGGAGACGCCATCTTTGAGGGCAAAACCGCTGTGTTTACCATTGGCGTTTACAACGTTTTATCAGAGAATGTCGTTTTACAAACAAATGTTTATGTCTGTTTATATTGTTATGCAAATCATGAAAAGACAATGTGTAATAGATTATAAAGAGACTATTAAAACAAGACATAGAGAGGTACAATGCGAAAATTTCATTCATAAATGGTGTGTATCCTTATGCAACAAAAGAAGCACTGAGCACCGATTATGCAACTTTGCCTCAGATACAGTATTTTCATGTGTACAGTTATCTGGTATTGGTGAGGAGTTTTTACACATGTGAGCATTTCCAAGCCTGGAAATCACTGGAGGTGTACGATCAGATTGACGTGGGGTTGGTTTGGTGACGTTTGCTCAAGTGCAATCAATGGAAAAGTAACTTAAGTCATCATAGCGAAGTAGCATGATGCTAATCTGTCTATTAAAAAGCCATAGCCTGCACAACTTAATTCCTATGTTCCCCAGTCACCGGTGATTTCTGTAATATGCATGTACTTGCGGGCGTCATGGTTCGGTGCATGAATATTAAAATAAATAACTCGCGTGCAATTTAATTAATGTAATAAATGAGGAACTACATTATACGTGGGATCTTTAGGGACATAATCTGAGATTGCAATGCTGGAATGTGAGATCAAACAGTGGAAGCAATGTTGTTTTGTATGTTTTTAATACCTCGTCATTTTGTTCATACAGGACATTATTCAAACTGCAACGTGTTAACTTATATTTATTTACACTCGCAATAAAACACAACATTATGCTTTTGTCAAACAAATTCGTGCGTGTTTTGAGTGAGTTTCTTTCCTGTTTATGCTCGCCAGCCATAATCTCCGTCGTTGTTCGGACAAAAGCTTAGTCTTCTCACATCCATATGGAGTCTAATGACGGGTATAGTGTAAAATCCCGATTTAACTGAACCTCCGGCACGATTTTATCATCCATTGACTCAACAGGAGATGACCATTTTCACTTTATAGCACGAAACTCAGTTCACTTCGTTCAACTCGTATTGCTTCTTCTTATGTTTTGCCCTCAGCAATGGCGCCGGGTCGGCAAATGCCCGTATGTTGTGACGTCATGTGGGAACTATGTATAACATGGAGTATACAACGGCATTATTACAACTGAAAGTAGAGGTTTTCTTAAATAAATGGTCTTCAATTGTCCAACATTTTCATTTGATATGACTATTATGTAGACTATATTTTTCTTGGTTTTATTTCATTTTTTTTTCTCCCAATGGTCATATGTATTGTAAAGGAAGGAAAGGGAAAAAAAAAAAAAAAAAAATCTGTACTATTTACCAAAATGTATATGTGGTACTGCAGAGATAAGGATCTTTCCCCTCACTTATATTCTTGTTAGGATGGAAGATATCTATGGTCTGATGCTCTATTTGTAGACTTGTCCATGACACTTTACTGTATCATCATTATTGTATCATCAAATGTTTACTCGTAACATACTGTATGACTGCACTTGATAATAGGAAATAAAAGAAAAGTTCAAAAAAAAAGAAAATGGGTTTAATTGCAGCTTTTATTAAAGATATCATATCGTAGAATGAGAGTTTGAAGGTGAAAATGGAAGTTAAAACAATGCATATAAAATAAAATTAAAGGGATACTCCACTTTTTTTTTTTTTGGAAATAGGCTCATTTTACAACTCCTCCAGAGTTAAACAGCTGAGTTTTACTGTTTTCGAATCCATTCAGACGATTTTCTGATATTTTGAAGAATATCACTTACCAGACAGTTTCTGGTCTCATTGACTTCCATAGTAGGAAAAAAAAATATACTATGGAAGTCAATGAGACCAGAAACTGTCTGGTAAGTGATATTCTTCAAAATATCAGAAAATCGTCTGAATGGATTCGAAAACAGTAAAACTCAGCTGTTTAACTCTGGAGGAGTGGTAAAATGAGCCTATTTCCAAAAAAAAAGTGGAGTATCCCTTTAAATGGAAACCTTAAAAAGCTTAATTTTAAGGAAAAGCTCTCTATGTTTATGGCATTCACAGCCTATGCTAATTTATAAATTGATTCTCGTGTGTTCATTTGAAGAGGGCATATTTGAGCTCATGGCATTTAAAACCAATCTGGAGTGCATTTGCTAAAAGCATCGTTAGCCAACTATTTGCAATTACCAACATAGATCAAAGACTCGATGTTTGCCGAAACCATAGTTTGAAGTCTTCTGAAGAGACACTAATGCTATTCCATAAGAACCAGTGAAGTTCGTCTCACATGTCAAGGTGTGCTTCTGTTGACCATATTTGATGTGCTCTATGCAAACAACATCTACATCTTTAATGCACACATCTAGGAGAATGACCCCAACCATGCATAGTGTGTACGTAGTCTGAACAACTAGATGAAGCATTTAAAATCTCATCAGAGATGTGTGTCTCTGTTCTCCAGATGTGGAGCAAGCAAACCTGCTTTGTTCACTGTAGTTTCTCTCAACAGATGGCTTAATATTAATATTACATTGGGCAGAAAAAATTGTGAAACAATGTTTCTTGTTTGCAGCCTTAAATCAAAAACCTTTCTATGGCTGTATATGTCAATAAACACATTACATGAGTGACTCCTAGAGCCCGACCGATAAAGGATTTTGAAGGCCGATACCGATACTAATAATTGTTGGTTTTAAAATCCGATATTCCGATATATCGGCCGATATTGCTTTTATTTTATTTTATTTTTTCAGAAATGCGCAACAAAACATCAACAGATTTCCCTAACATTAGTTATTTGTAGTTAAGTATACGTTTTAACTAAAATAAAAAGAAAATGCATTTTAAAAAGAAACTTTTTACTTTTATTGTCGCAACAGAACATTGCCCTCTGGTGGACAAACTATACAACTCCAACACTCATGACATGTTTCAAGCGTGTTTCATCCATTTTTATTTTAATGTTGAAATATTCATTTATCGGCCATTATAACTGCCGATACCGATAGTTTGGAAAATGCCTAATATAGGCCGATAATATCGGCCTGCCGATATATCGGGCTGGCTCTAGTGACTCCTGTCATTATCATAATAATAATAATATTTTAAACAATTATTTAGGTGACTCACTCCTGCATTTAAACGCAGTCGTCCCTCCTAAAACCATGTGTGCGTGTGCCATAGTGCCTTAGATGATTCAGAACGACTGCATGTATTTTTAGAGCAAGGGTTTGCTTTGTCATCTCGCTTACCTCGTCCTTTTCCAGCAGAATGAGACGCACGACTGCAATGTTGATGGCATTTCCGATGCTGGGATCCCGAAACAACCCTGCCACCTATAAAACACAACACTCTCACATGTGAAGAGCAACATTGCAACCCTTCTACTACAGTGATCTGCATTGTAAACAATTATCGTGATTTTAACGGTAAAAATACTGTAAAAATGCAACAGTGAAAAACTGTTAATTCGTTAACAGTTTCCGTACGGTGAATAGCTGTGATTTAATGTAATTTTACAGTAAAATTGACCGTTTTTGGAAGTGAAAAAGTATAATTTACAGTAAAAAAAAAACGAAATTGACATTCCTACGAATTCCCTGCACGACACTTCACATTTGATGTATTTTTGTTGAAATAACTGTCTTCAGAGTTTCTAATTAAGTATGTACATGTGAATCTTTTTAATATTTAATCTTGTTCGATTAATGTTTAATGCATTTTTAAAAGTTTTATGTGTGTTACCATGACGACTTTTAGTGTTTGTGTGAAGGACACTGTGTATTAATTTTCTTGCGGAAAAGCAGCTTGTGATGAGCTTTGATGCATCATGTGACTCTGTGATTGGTGGTTGTCAGTGTATTACAATAGTACCAAACAAAAATTAGTAATTCAAAAAGTCAGTAAATTACTATTAAATCAGACAATGAAATTTTTTTACTGTAAATTTAAGTTAAGGTCCCTATCTTGCACGCGGCGCAAATGACTTTATACACTGACGCATGTATCATTCCTCTCTTGCATCCGCGCAAAGCACATCGGTAAACTAGGGAATGAACTTGCGCTCCTTGGGCGGGTCGGCGCAAAAAGGAGGCGTGTTTCGGCGCAAACAATCCCAGGTGCTATTTCACAGTTCCAGAAAACAATTGCGCCAATGACCAGAAAAAAACAAGTCTAAAGTCGGTGGCGTTGCGCGTACATTCAGATGCTATTTTAAGCGCGCATGCTTGGCCATAATACAGAGTGTGAATGACGCGCATACACGGTACACTGAAAAAAAAAAAACGTAATTTTTACGGTAAAAAAAATGGCAGCTGGTTGCCAAACCTTTACCGTTAAAAAATACGGCAGGAACGTTTGACTTAACTTAAAATTTACAGTAATAAACCATATTTCATTTTCTGATAAAATGTTGATTTAGCAACCTTTTTTAAATATTGTTTATGTTTTGTACCATTGTAATACAACCAACAATCATCACAAAAGCGATGAGAGTCACATGAGCAATCGAAGCTCATCACAAGTAGTCTTCCATAAAAAGGTTAATATTTAAAGAAGCCGCACAGTGTCACTCACACAAACATTAAAGGTGCAATGTGTAACAAAGTTGAGTATCTATTAACAGAAATGCAATATGACATCCATAACTATGTTTTCAGTGGTGTATAAAGAACTTACTTAATTAGCCGTAATGTTTTTATTACCTTAGAATGAGACATTAATAGCTCCATAACCGCGGGAATCCCCTTCTATGAAGGTCGCCATGTTGTGACGTCATATTCCTACCGTAGCCGAGCGCGAACACACAGTGCTACAGAACGCGTTTCATCACTACCTTGAAAGAGAAGTAGCGGAAAGCTGGAAGCTAGCCTTACACTCCGTGAGTAGTGACTTTTCCCTTGTGAGTGGTGTAAAATATGTAGTTGGGATTGTTTCATGTAACTTAGCTCTCCCTCGCTGTGTTATGGGTTTGTTATGTTGGGGATAGATGTGCTGTTACGTTCGTGAGACAGCTGATGATTAGTATTCATGTCATTGACCGTAAAAACAGTACGTTACAGGAATCACTAACCCGTCGATAGAGACTTTTACTAAAGTCTTTTATCACTAAAGTCGATCGCGAAGAATTTTAAAAATCAGAGAAAAAAAGCCTATTGTGTTTAGTAAATAGTATCTATGGGATGCGGAGATGACATGATTGTAATAGCGCGCGCACTTCCGACCTTTGGACTCATGCAGACGCGTCCCAGCTCAGCCACAGTAACAGCTCATATTAGCCAGCTAAACTATTACTACCCTGTTAGAAAAAATATATAGCTGCTCCCTCGCTGTATTATGGGTTTGCTACAGTATGTGGGGATAAATGTGCTGCTGGTTACGTTTGTGAGACAATCAGCTGATTATTATTTTATTAAATTATATATTAAAACCCTTGATCCTCACCTGACTATGGCTTTGTAAACAGACATTCATGATGTGGTTTATAATGGACTGTGGTACAGAAACAGTGACAATGTTACACACTCTTGGCTTACTCAGGCTATTCTCTGCTGTCTCAGCCGACGAGATGTTTGTCCCGTTTTAGCAACCGTAGCTTCTTCGAAAGGGAGGGGTGAGCAGTGGGCTGAGCCCTTAGTGCAAACCTGGTGCAAACTCGCAACCGAACCACTAGATGTCGCTAAAAGTCACACATTGCTCCTTTAAACACCATCATGGTAACACACATAAAATAAGAAAAACTACAATAAACAATAATTTAACAACATTAAATGTAACATAAAACTGATTAGAAAAAAAAGGAACCATAGTTAATTCAACAAAAACACAAAGTTGAAGCGTCACACAGGGAATTGTGAGAATGTAAATTTACGTTTTTTTACTGTAAATTATACAATGAGTTGTTCTTTTTCACTTTCAAAAACTGTAAATTTAACGGTATTTTACCGTAAAATTATATCACAGTTATTTACCGTACATAGTACGGAAACTTTCTGTTAACCAATTAACAGTTTTGCACTGTAGCATTTTTACCGTCTTTTACCGTTAAAATCACGATTATTTTTTACAGATGCAATTTAATTTTTGCAAATGATACATTATTATATGGAAAACTATTAAAACAGGAGGGAAATCATTGTTGCGTCCATGACGATGGGAAAAATAGGCATAAAGCTTACATATTTACCTAATTTGGGTGTGTTTGTCCCATTCCCAATGTCACTTCTCTTTCTTTTACGGCCCTGACGAGAACATCGATCTCCTCAGCTGTGAACCGATTGAAGCACGTCTGGTAAATCCGCCGTTATAATAGTATTGCGCCCTGTAACAAGCGCACCTCGTTCATCACGCTCTTAAAGGGAATGCGATATGACGCTCTGATTGGTTTATTTCCTGTTATGCCCAAACCACACCTATGAATAATGAAGCTACTTCAGACCAACCCCTTTTAAACTTTACGTCGGGTGCAAGAGTCATTTATCCCGCCGATTAAAATAGCAACAGCGCGGGGATCCACCCACAAAGATACTTGCGTTTCAGATCGTTAGGGTTAGGTTAAAACATTTTAGGTTTTACCGTAAATCCTAAAATGTTGCTACCGTATTTTATATACGGTAAACTTCAGGCAACAGTGGATCCATTCTGGTTCAAAAACTATTTTTAATGAGTGAAAAGGCGAGAGAAAGCCAAGAAAATGTGAAGAGAAATCTGACTTTTAATAAGGGCGCTGCCAGCTGAGGTCATCACAGATCTTCACAGGTGTTTAGATGAAATCCGGGGAGCTGAAGTCCCCTAAATAGGGTGTAGGAATGATACTGAACTGCTCTCACATCAAAGCTCTCCTTGAGGTAAATGCGGTCCGAAATGTGAGAGGCATTTTCTCTGCTTCGGTGAGGCTCATTACAAAATGTTCCAGTGAATCAACGAGGCATCTTTTATGTGCTGTCCTTTGGTGAAATCTTCCGCAGACATGTGAATGACACCCTGAAAGGCTGCTTAACTTTTTATTTTACAGGTTTCGGGTGCAAACGTTACAGCTTGCATGAAATATACTGGCAGATATATTTAGCCAGGTTAAGATAAATCAAAAAAGGGACCTTTTATAAATAGATAAACTGTAAGTGTTAGCATTAATGAGTCGAAAAAGACTATTCTGAATATTATCATGTAGGCTATGCTACTACATGAGAAAAAATGTAAAATAAAACGATTATTTAACGATAATGATCGATCGTTTCGCTTGATAAGACCCTTATTCATCGTCTGGAATCGTTTAAAGCCCTTTGAACAGTTTGCACTGAAACTCTCATTTGGACCTTGAATCGTTTGGTTCCCATTGAAGTCCATTATATGGAGAAAATCCTGGAATGTTTTCGTCAAAAACCTTAATTTCTTTTCGACTGAAGAAAGAAAGACACGGACATCTTGGATGACATGGGGGTGAGTAAATTATCAGCAAAAGTTTTTTTCAAAAGTAAGTGCTTTTGAAACTCCTTTAACTAATGAACCTTCTTGTTAAATGTTACCTCGATATAAAACGGTATTGCCTCATCTTATTTCATTTATAAAAATAAAAAAAAACATAGCTATCAATATGCTGACCAGCCCTAGCAATTACGCTCACACTTTTTGCCTGATGGATGAAAAAGCACATCATCTTCTTTAGGACTTATATTTAATGAGAGACCGAGCCGATCTAGAGACCTGAATTTCACAGAGACTCGGGGGTGGGCTCTTTTTTGCAGCTGATGAAAAATCCCTTTTTCCCGAGAGAATCTCAAAAGAACAGATCAAACATTCAGTGCTTCCTTCATGTGTGTGCTATGCTTTTATTATTATTATTATTTTGCAATGTCATGCTGCACTTAGATCATGCTAAAATCAAATTCTACTGAAAATAACTCAAACTGGGCTGGTGATGTAAAGTGTTCAAAATCCGTGAAAACACACGAGGATCTGCTAAGAAACTTCGGTGTGTGCATAAGACTAACATGACACCTTCATAATCATGACATTTTGAAGTTTTATGCATGTTTGTGACAACTGTCATTAAGTGTCATTCACTCAATTATGCCATTTTTAATGCAAATATGACATTGTTTGAGATGTCTTTGTTATGACACCTTGACATTACTAAGACAACACAACCTGTCATAAACATGACATAGCAGATTAATTAACAAACTTAAGAAGCTTTATGGTTTAATATACATTAAACTGTCAGGTGGTTGGTTTTGACATTGGCTGTCATGAGGCCATTATAACTTTTTAATGACAAATTCAATTAGTACCACTGTAGTTGACACAGTTATAATGGCCTCATGACAGCCAATGTCAAAACCAACCACATGACAGATTAACTTCATTTAATGTCAACTTGTGACATTAAAATGACAAGGACATCTCAAACAATGTCATATTTGCATTCAAAATGTCATTATTGAGCGAAAAACACTTAATGACAGTTGTCATAAACATGCATAAACCCTACTTCATATTCAAGATGAACACCCCTTCAAGTAAAGTGTTACCCAATAGGTTACAGTGTCCTTGTTACATAGGAATATGGTAAATTATGCATAATTACATGCAATTAACCCTCAACCAAACTCTATAGTAAGTACATGTAGTTGCTTAATATTACTCAGAACTTACAAAACAAAGACACATTCAAATAAAGTGTAAGCGAAACTTCATGAGGTGAAGTCATTTTTTACTTGAAAATGAGGTTATGAATCATTACCGTCTTCAACAATACATAAAAACAACTCAAATACAGCAACGATGAGTTTATAATGCCAGAACTAAACCTCAGCCGACGCGGATAATGGAATGTTTCCCATTTATAGACGGTTCTTGTTCTTCAATACCAACCAAGTGTCTGGAATGGAAAACTTTTCTTCCCTGAGGGGCTCAAACACAGAAGCCAGACGAAGCATAGCGAGTATATTTTGGAAAACAGACTGGATCTGTAACATGGTCAGCTGACTCGGATCCAAACTAAAGAGCTGCTGACTTAAGGACATTGTTGCAGAAAGCTAAAGGGAGGAAATGAGGGTAGTTTAAAACAGCACATCAGAGTTAAAGGAGTAGTTCACTTTAAAAAACTTTTGCTGATAATTTACTCACCCCAATCTCATCCAAGATGTCCATGTCTTTCTTTCTTCAGTCGAAAAGAAATTAAGGTTTTTTGATTAAAACATTCCAGGATTTTCTCCATATAATGGACTTCAATGGGAACCAAACGGTTCAAGGTCCAAAAGACAGTTTCAGTGCAAACTGTTCAAAGGGCTTTAAACGATTCCAGGCGATGAATAAGGGTCTTATCAAGCGAAACGATCGCTCATTTAAAAAGTAAATAAAAAAGTTTAAGTTTTTTAAGCACAAATGCTTGCCTTGCTCTGTTATAATAATAATAATAAACTTTATTTTATATAGCGCCTTTAAAAAGTATCTCAAAACGCTTCACAAATATAGAAACAATGCATTAGTAGTTGCTGACAGAAAAACGTAAAAAAAAAAACAACATTATGAAATATAGGATTAATAATAATAATAACAATTTTCAACAATTAAGTAAAAACTACCCTAAACAAATAAGTTTTAAGTGATGATTTAAAAACACTAAGAGATTCTGTTCTGTGATGCGCGTTCGGGACTCTCCTATTCGAACTTGTTCATCAAAATGAACAAATCTTTTTTCGAGACATTTTGTTGATTCAACGAACGAAATGAACGAATCTTTTTTCGAGTCATTTGGTTCATTCAACGAACGAAATGAACAAATCTTTTTTCGAGTCATTTGGTTCATTTGATGAACGAAATGACTCGAAAAAAGATTCGTTCATTTTGATGAACGAGTTCGAACAGGAGAATCACGAACGCGCATCACAGAACAGAGCAAGGCGAGCGCTTGAGCTTATAAAACTTAAAATTTGTTATTTATTTATTAAATGAGCGATCATTTCGCTTAACAAGACCCTTATTCATCGTCTGGAATCGTTTAAAGCCCTTTGAACAGTTTGCACTGAAACTGTCATTTGGACCTTGAACCGTTTGGTTCCCATTGAAGTCAATTATATGGAGAAAATCCTGGAATGTTTTCATCAAAAACCTTAATTTCTTTTCGACTGAAGAAAGACAGACACGGACATCTTGGATGACATGGGGGTGAGTAAATTATCAGCAAAAGTTTTTTCAAAAGTAGTAATAAGGAAACGAAAAGTGTGCATTTGGAAACTTTTCAGATTTTTTTGTGGGTGTTCCAAGTCTATTCCTAACTGGGATCTTTACATAATCTGTATAAACAGTACAGTATTTGAAAAGGTAGTGTATATATTGTCACCCACTCTTTCATGTCTTCCCGTTTTCTCTGATTTAGTGTGTGTGTTCATCCGGTCTGTACCCGTTGGAATTCTATTAATAGTAAAAGTTTGTATTGGAGCTTTTTGCCTCTTCGTCCTCTTCGTCATTTGAGCTTACACCACACAGTGACGTTTCCATTGCAGTTTTGCAAAAGATTACTTATTTGAATTGCCTGAAAAACGTTTTTGCGTAATATATGGGAGTTTTCGCGAAATTGACGCGCAATGTCAATTTGCGCAAATTTGAAGGGTAAAAGAAACGCGGCTAGTAATAGTGATTCTCGTAATACTCTGTTACTCACAATATTCATGACAGAGAGCACATAGCTCACAACTCCTTTCCTTCCATGGTACTCCACCATTTTCGAATCAGCCACTACCAGAGTCTCGACCCACTTCTCGGAGCTGATGGATCGCTGTCTGATGCGCCTGCGCCGCTGCCGTCTCTCCCAGCGCTCTCGCTGCCTCTCCACCTGCTCTGCCTCTCCTGAAGGACCAAAAGAGAGTCGGAAATCACACCGGATGAAGGATGTGACATCTGGGCACAATTATCAAGCCTCATTGAATCCCTATGGGCCCTATCATACATCTGATGCAATGCAGCGCCAGGCGTGACACAAATGTGTTTTGCTAGTTTCAGCCTGACGCAGTTATTATTTTCACATCGTTTAAATAGCAAATGCATTTGCGCCCATTTGTGGTGTGCAAACCTGTTTTCAGGCGCATTCTTGGAGCGGTGCTATTTGGAGGAACTGAAATAGACTGAGGCTATGGTTACACGGAAACGATCTGAAGAGAAAACGCAAAAGTGGCGTTGCGTTTTCACTTTTTATTCTGCGTTTGAGTGGGAAATCCGCGTCTGTATGGTGACACAAAAGTGTGTGAAAATCAATGTAGTATGCACTCCAGGCAGCTAGGTGGCGATGTGGAGCTCTGCCACACAACAACACCAAGTCTGCGCTAGAGCCCGACCGATAAAGGATTTTGAAGGCCGATACGATACAAATATTTGTTGGCTTTAAAATCCGATATTCCGATATATCGGCCGATATTTTTTTTTTATTATTTCAGAAACGCGCAACAAAACATTAACAGATTTCCCTAACATTAGTTATTTTAACTAAAATAATATGATAATGCATTTTAAAAAGAAACTTGTTTCTTTTATTGTCGCAACAGAACAGACTGACGATAGTGGCATTAGCTAGCTTTGTGGTTAGCTAGTCTATGATGAGCCATAATTTAGCAATGGATTACGTCATTCTGTAAATTGTAAAACATACATTTTTAATACAACAGGCCGAGGAGATATGATACGTCTCATTGCTATAACTGTCACGCGCTATTAAAGAAATACTTCAGTCACATTGTCAAAAGTTTAAAGGACAGTCAGTCAACTACTCTGTAATAACGTAACGTAACTATTACTAGCTAATTCCGCTTCACTCTCGGCTTATTTATCAGCAACAAACTGGACATGATTTTTAATTGTTATTCAAGCAATGTATGTCTCGTGACCAACTCAACGAGTGTTGCCAACAGGGACGGTGTAGAGTGCCCTCTGGTGGACAAACTATACAACTCCAACACTCGTGACATGGTTCAAGCGTGTTTCGTCCGTTTTTATTTTATTTTTGAAATATTCATTTATCGGCCAGAATAACTGCCGATATAACTGCCGGAAAATGCCTAATATCGGCCGATAATATCGGCCTGCCGATATATCGGTCTGGCTCTAGTCCGCACGCCTGCGTACAACCTTCACTTTCAAGCAGACTTTTGCGTTTTCACCCTTTAGACGGCAACACGGGTGGTTTCACTTTTTTGCGTTTTTAAGCCCCAAAAACGCCGTCGCCGTGTAAACGAAAGGCACATCCAATAAAATATTTTTACATTTTCACCAGGAATTGTTCTTGTGTAAACAGGGCCTAAGCCATTGACCAACTGAAACCTGGCCTAAAGTAAATATTTTTTTGTTAATATTTTTTTTTAAAGTCAATATTTTTTGTTAGTACACACACACTCTCCCAATTACACACACACACTGCTTATTACATGCACAGGGGGTCGACAGCTGCACACAAACATGCAAAATATTATAAATAAAAGGATTACAATGTTAAAGAATACATCTACTCGTCTAAAGATTACACACTTTAACCTCACACACACACACAGCTTTAACCTCAGATCCGTTTCCTCGGCTTGCAAATTCCTCCATGTAAATAGCGAATCCGCCATGATGCGAGCGCAACTGGCTTTTAAATTGAAGGGGAAATTAAACTCTGATTGTTTTTTTTTTTTTTTTTTTTGCACGTTATGCTCAATAAACACCCATTGCTCATTAAGAGAATTGGGACAATCCTTTTAGACCATGAACCGTGTGCGCTGGACTATTTTTCCAGTCCTTAAACTAGCAAAAGTGGATTCAATTGTGCCGTGCGCTTTAGCCCATGCACTTAGATCCTTAAAATAGGACACTAAGTCTGACCTCTGACCCCACAGGTGGCGTTGGCTGTGTGCTCCCCGAACAGAGGTTGCACCAGCTGGCGTTCTGATTGGACAGCATGTCTCTTGTAGATGGCGTGAGCCTGTGGGTTCGACTCTTCTTGTGCCGTCTCCAGTGGACTAATGAAGAATTCCTCTCCTGAGAGCTTGAACAGCCCTGTCTAGAGAGAACAGAAGGTCAAAATTAAACAGCTTAACAACTCACTAATTCACTGCATTTGTATTTTTTGGCACCCTCTTGTTATTACAGGATTATCATAATTCAGCTTCCAACTGAAACTAAATATAATAAAATAAGCATTAACAGAATATCATAAAAATATATATATAAAATATATCTTATTTCAGCAATTTGCCAATGCAACATTTCTAATTTTCATTGTTTAACTCAAATTACTAACTAAAACTGAAATAAAAAATACGGAATTTTAGAAAAAACTATAATAAATACACAAACACACAACAAAATTGCTAAAAGTCTAACTAAAATTTTAATATTAATAAAACATAATAGTATCTTAATTATCCTAAAATAACACTGTTATCATCTAAATATTAAAATTTAAATATTAAAATACTAAAACTTTAAACTTTAGAGTAAACTACTTGTCAGAGAATTATCTTTAAAGGATCAATGACAAACTGCAAAAGAATTGAAAAATCTTTTCAAGTTTTTTTTATATTTGTACTGTATATTTATCATGGTAAATGTACTATTAATTCATAAATATAAATTTTGCTTTTTGGGAGGTCATTCTACTTGACATTTTATAATATGAAATAACCTTATATTTGTCCAATTTCTTTATTGAATTGCAATGCTAAATTCTTTCTAAATCCAAAACTTCATTATTTTTAAAAGAGGCTTTTTATTTTTCATGTTACGGTACGGCACGGTTCGGTACGGTTCACTTGTGGCACTTTTACAATGCATGATACGGTACGGTACGGCTCACTTCGGCTCGCTTTAAATGGTACCACTTCTGTTGAGGTTCCAAGCGTACCATACCGATACTAAAATGTGACGTGAACACACTGCAGATCACTGATTGGTCAGAGTCAGACAGAATCGTCACTACTAGCGTCATTGTATTGCGAGACATCAAACCCGCTAGATTTAAATAGCCAGTAACAGTCACCGCTGTAGCATCTGTTTTAAAACTGACTTGCTTGAAGAAAAAAGAAAGAAAAAAAACTTCCAAAAAAGAAATGGCTGAATCGTGGTCAGTAGACGAAGTGCAGACGTTCCTCTCGTTGGTTGCCGAGGAACGAATAAACTATAACGGTCGGACTATAATCCCACCCACTTTGAAGCGGTACTAACTGCAGTGGAAAAGCAAACCGAGCTAAAGCTAACCGTGCCGAGTCGTGCCACATAGTGGAATAACGAAGCCAGTCGAACCATGCCGAACGGTATTGAGCCGTATCGAGCCGTACCAGCAGTGGAAAAGCACCAATTGCAGACGGGGTGGGTACTACCTACCATCCCTCAAAGTTTCAAGTCTTTGCGGTTTGGTCTGTTTCGGTCGGTTTTGGTTTGGTCTGCCCAATCACTTTGAGGGGAGAAAGCTGATTCTTGGACATTCTAACAATTACAATAGGGTTAAACCCCTAAAAATAGTATCAACAATGTTTGATTAAACAATTCCCTATTTTTAAAATTCTACATAGGAACATCATGGACTCACCAGGCCATTGCAGGTGCTCACAGCTGCTTGACCCCAGGTCAGTTTACTGCTCCAGACATCTCCCAAGAAGAAGCAGAGAGAGTGGCCGTGACCGTGTAACGTAGACCCTCGCAGGCCACCGTACCTCCGCTCTGTGAGGAATCCAGGCGCTAGTAGATGAGGGTTTAGGGTGAGGTTAAAGTGCAGGTCCTGACCACCATACTGCAGACGGTAGAAAACCCGGGTCAGCCTCTTGTTATTTGGCGTCTCTCTCCTCTGAATTCGACTCAAGCGGTGGGACACAAGATTGGACAAAAACTGTCCTGATGAATCCACTCGGATAGGGTGAACCACTTCATAGTTTGGAAACCCATCAAGAGAACTATCTACAAAAACAACAGAGTAACTATTAAGATAAAAACTGTCACATCCCAGAAGTGGAATTGTTTAATAGTTAAACTTTGTGCCAAAAGACCAATCGGATGAAAAAAACACAACATAGATTTGCGATCTGAGCCCCATCTATCAATTTGTGAAGGGTTGCGTCTACCGTTGTTGAGGTTTTACTTAAATTGGGATGTAAAGTTCACACTAGGGTAAATATCAGTTAGTTTTTATAGTGCCCTTCTTATGCTACTTTAAATGG